TACCAGGGCTGTTGCCATTGTTGCGATTCACGCATGAAAGGCATAAGAATATGAATGGCGGAACAACACAAACGAATAGTCTGCGGCGGCATTGGTAGGTGGGCTTGTTTTCGCAACAGCGCTACTTTCCAGGGTTGTTGCCTTTGTGGCGGTTCACGCCTGAGTACACAAGAGCATGAAAGTCGAAACCACCCACGTAAATTGTGTGTGGTGGCCGTGGTTGGGGAGCTTGTTTCCACAACAGCGCTACCTACCAGTGTTGTTGCCATTGTTGCGATTCACGCATGACTACAGAAGAGTTTGGAAGCCGAAACCACAGACGGACATAAATAGCGTGTGGCGGCAGTGGGTGGGGAGCTTGTTGTCGCAACAGCGCTAGTTACCAGGGCTGTTGCCATTGTTGCGATTTATGCATGAAAGGCATAAGACTATGAATGCCGGAACAACACAAACAAATAGTTTGTGGCGGCGTTGGTGGGTGGGCTTGTTTTGGCAACAGCTCTACTTACCAGGGCTGTTGCCATTGTTGCGGTTTACGCATGAAAGGCATCGACTATGAATGCCGGAACAACACAAACAAATAGTCTGTGGCGGTGTTGGTGGGTGGGCTTGTTTTCGCAACAGTGCTACCTACCAGGGCTGTTGCTATTGTAGCGATTTGCGCATGAAAGGCATAGACTATGAATGCCGGAACAACACAAACAAATAGTCTGTGGCGGCGTTCGTGGGTGGGCTTGTTTTCGCAACAGCGCTACCTACCAGGGTTGTTGCCATTGTGGCGGTTCACCCATGAATACACAAGAGCATGGAAGCCGAAACCACCCACGTAAATTGTGTGTGGTGGCCGTGGTTGGGGAGCTTATTGTCGCATGTGTGGGTCCGGCATTCATTCTCCATTGTATTCATGCTTGAATCCCCACACAGGCTACAACCCTGATAAGTAGCGCTGTTGCAAAAACACGCCCACCATTCACGGCCGCCACACACTATTTATGTGTGTGTGTGGCTCCGGCATTTAGATTGTATGTATTGACGCGTGAATCGCCACACAGGCAACAACCCTGGAAAGTAGCGATGTCACAATATATGGCGTTCTGCAGCAGCGGAGGTGGCGGTGCTGCTGTAGCTCGTAGACTTTGTAGTGTACCACAGAGGTTACACTGCTGTCACCGCGGTGCTTCTGTGGGTCGTAGACTTTGAAATCTATCACAGAGGTTACACTGCTGTGAGATCGGTACGCCCGAGCAAGCTTCGCAAAGAGAAACGTAGATAGATGTTCGTATCAACTGACTCCCTGGTCAGGCTTTGATGGGTGCTAGATGAGAGTGAGCACAAGGGGCGAAGGCGTGCTTGTGTCTCAGCTCAACAACAAAACAAAAAACAAGCAGCAAACACAGCAGGTTCCGAGGGTCTTCGCGGTAAGAATGGCCCGAGTACCGGAATTTCGGGGTTCGGAACAATAACACGGCTACAGTCTCGCCTGCCAAATTATCTCCGCTACAACTCTGTGCTCATGTTCTCTGCCAAGTATCATCTCTTCTTTCTGTATTGTGTCTACGGAAGGCTACTTGCCCCAGTCGTACCTATGGTGAACTGTGCCTGCCTACGTTGTAACAGTTTTCCTCGACACGATCCCTCGATTAGGCAAGTAGTCGATGTTCCAAAACTTGACTTCGCTGCCAATTTTCGCGACCCCTCGTCCCAATCCATATCAAAGAAGATCGACCTCCACTTGAGTGAATCCATCCTGTGAGCATTACACGCGTTCAAAACATTCAACCATACTATGCGATCTTGTGCTGAATATCTTCTAGCACTTGTAGTCCTTGATGAGTTGCATGATGGTGGCGAATCGCTGCTTCGGGAGATGTTTCGTCGC